TAAAACGAGAACATGTGATATATTCACCATATTTATATTTGCACTTTGTTTCAATATTATAATTCAGATCTATAAACACAATAAATGATACAACTCAACTTTATTATTATTATAAAAACAAGTTACAGCTCGAAAACAACAAGACAATAAAACAAAAAGCTGCTAAAGTTTGAATAAACAAATAATAAAATGTGAAAATCATGTTTGTTGTCAAATCAACATGATCAAAGTCTGGAATCAAACAAAGAGAATCAGTCGTGCGACCTCTCGGCCTCGTGTCGCCTCTTTACACTCGACCACCGTGTCGGTTCATGACAAACACCAGGACTCTGCCGATGACACATGACGGATGCCAGTGTGTCTGACGGGGGGGCACGGCTCCAGGTTCAGGTTTCTCCTGTTTAACAGCAGCAGGGGCCAGAGGCTGGATCTCAGGGCCACACCTCGGGGACGGGGCCCCTGCGTGTGAATGTGGAGGGCGGGTGAACTCGGAGGTAATTGAAGCGAGGCTTTTGTATGAATCTGCTTCCAAACCACAGGAGGGAAGAAGAGAGTTTTAATGAATGGAGAGCGTCATTAAAATGATAACTATTTCCTCCGAGATCACTTCCAATTTAAATGCAGGGGCAGAAGAGAAAGATCCTTTTTCTTCTTCTGCCATTCAAACTGTAAATTTGAATGTGGGGGAGAAGAGGGAGATTGTTTGTAGCCATAGTTCACTACTTCCAATTATTCGTCTTTCTGCTGCACTTAAAGCCGCTCGGGGGGGGGGGGGGGGGGGGCTCACACGGTTTAAAGCCAAAACCAGACGAGCAGCCGTGTTTTCTTTGGATCAGCAGCGGTCAGAGGGAACAGATCTGTGTCAGATAGTTAGAGAAGAGATCGAAGCAGATGTGAAAAATGACTTAATTGATCAACAATGAGGCCGACGGGGTTTTTCATGAACAGCTGCACATTCGCAGCAGAGAAACAGCAGCAGGATGCAGATTCAAGAAACGTTCACAGAGCACACGTGAAACAAGCAGGTTTTAACCAGCTGCGTTAGCTGCATGGAGCTGCGTCGGCTGCATGGAGCTACGTTAGCTGCGTT